TGTGTGTGTGTGTGTGTGTGTGTGTGTGTGTGTGTGTGTGTGTGTGTGTGTGTGTGTGTGTGTGTGTGTGTGTGTGTGTGTGTGTGTGTGTCTAAGTCTGTGGGAAGTAGGAGAAAGGGGATTCCACACCAACCCAGTGCCATAAGAGCACTTTTGTTCTACATTTACGCCGACACACACACACACACACACACACAAAGGAAAAAGTGGTGAATGCGTCACAAGTGTGTTTTAAGCTCGAGTGTTCCTCAGAGGGTTGAAGGTTGTAGGGCGGAGACGGGTCGAATTGAGATGTATGATTTTGTGTGTATATATGTGTGTGATCTGTCCCCTTGGTATTCCTCATTTTTGTAGTAGTCGTTCCCTCGCACACACACACACACACACACACACACACACACACACACACACACGCACACGCACACGCACTCTCTCTCTGCTGATTGTTGCCAATGTGACAGGACTTTTAGTAAATCTGATGGATGGCGCTGCTTCATACTTGAGAGAGAATAAATTTCTTGATAAAAGCAAATAACAGGGTTTCATCCAAAGATGTTATATATCCCCCCTGCCCCCCCTGAAAACCATATCATATCAAATAAAACGAGTTGTATCCAAACCACAGAGAGACATCAGTCAACATTTCAAAATAAAGACATGTTATCCTCCAGAACAGAACGACATTGTAAGAGCTGGATGACTCATCGCTGTGAGAGTAAGTGAGACTTCACGTTCACGCCAGCAGTTTAGGGATTTATTTAGTTTTCACTTATTTATTTATTTTTTACAAATGGCGTATATATTTCATTTTGGATTGAAACCCTCACCGTGTTATGAGAATAACTATTAATACATGTGTTGAAAAGCTACTTAAAGTGTTTTTAATCCTGTAACTTCAGCGTGCGGTTACGCTGTGTCAGCGTTTGTGTGTCTGCATGCAGTGTGAGCTGAAATTTAACTTGTGTCTAACTTTTCTTTTCCCTTTAAACGTGGACGCTAGATGGTTCAGTGGGTAAGTTTGTGAGCAGATTTAAAATTGTACTTTAGTGAGAATGATCGTAATGTGGCAGTGCATGATGGGTAACATCCATAATTCACTCACCGGTGAGGCAGGTTGGCCACGGACTGAGAAAAGAATACTCTTTGTGGTGAAAAGTACATCTATGAATCAACCTCCTCGCTGTTTGTTATTATTATTACATTCTGAGGAGGTCACACGTCGAAGCCGCAGCTCCCTGAAAAGTCGACTTTGGAGAATTTGGAGTCCGTGTAGAAATTTGAGTCAGTGACCACACACGTAACCTGCACCCGGAGAGACAGAAACAAGAATCTGGCAACACGCGCCGATGAAATAGAGCGTTTGAGCGCAGTTACGACATATGGACGCTGCATGTGCCCGCAGACTCGTGTGTCACAGAGAAGTGATGGAAAAGAGCTCGGAGCAAAGCAGCAGCAGGATTCTCTTCCTTCATGTATACACTGTGCGACTTGTCTTACTTTCTTTTCTTTTCTTTTTTGCCGTAACATGTTTCTCCTGGTGTCCCGCTCGGTTCTGTCCACTTTGTGTGTGTGTTTCCATCCCAACGTTGCCCGTTTCCATTGCCTCAGAATGCCCGTATACAATGACCTTCATGCCACGGAGCCACCAGAGGCAGTTTTTTTTTTTTACTTGTGTTGACGTGAGTTGGCCGAGTTCACGTTGCCATGCGATCACTGGAAAAAACCATGAAAAGCGGGTTATTTCTAAGTGAGCTGCTCCACAAAGGCAAACAGGGCTTTACCCCGGGGGTGGGGGGGGGGTGCTTTAAAGGTCAAAGGTCATTAATGTTAAGACAGAATCATATGAAATCAATTTATTTAGATTTATTTCACCGTCTGGAGAAAATGTGGTGAGCTGTGAATGAAATCCTGCTTCTCAAGATTCTGATGTTTTGAAAGAGAAAAGTCAAATTCAGCTCCGAGTGTCCCTGAATGTGTCCGGTTTGTCGGCGACCTCTGACCTCTGCACATGTGACCGACAGGGGGAAGAGTTCATGGACTGGTGGAGCAAGTTCTACGCCTCGACGGGAGAGAAAAACAAGTGCGGGACGTATCTGGAGAAAGGCTTCGACACACTGAAGGTATAAGAGAGTGTGTGTGTGTGTGTGTGAAATATAGAATATAATCATCTCACTTTAAAATGTTTTTTAATAGTTAAATTTTTAAGAAAATAAATTTTAGTTTGTGTGTGAAAATCAAAATGTGGATTACCCACCAGGACCCATCGAGTTGGACTGGGTCCGGATATAAATGTTGAAGTGGTATTCGGTTTGGATTCGACGTGACGTTAGCTGGGCGACCTCTTCGATTTATTTTTATGTTGCACGTATCCGTGTTTGAGGATAAAAGATGTGGACGGAATTCCTGTCGGGTTCGGGTTGGGCTCGGTTAGTTTTCTCTTGGGCTTGGATGTAAAAAAAAAAAAATTGCATCTGGAGTGTGTCTGCAGATTCAACTTCAGGCCAGAATTATAGGAATAAATGTTAAGAAGGTAAAACTCAATAAAGTGGGAAGATGAAAGAGAGACGGACGGAGACAGTGCAGCCCTTTGTTCCTCTGCACTGAAACATCACGCACGTTGCCCCAAACATCACCATTTAAATCACATTTTTGCCGTTTTGCCAGTTCTCTCTGTCAATCCATCCCTCCATCCTTCCTCCTCCTCCTCCTCCTCCTCCTCCTCTCTTCTCATGCCCCGTCCTCGCAGCCCGGCGTCCCCACCGTTTTCCAACAACTCCGATGACTCACTTGCAGCAAATTCGCTTCGGGGACGCAACATTGGGACGCATGCGGGGGGAAAAACGGCAGCCCTCCGATGTTGGCGAGTCCCACACGACTGATCACGTCAGCCGAACTCAACGTCTGTTTTTAGTCTCGTTCTTTCAAGAGTCTGCCACGGTTCAGCCACCGTCCCAGGAGCCACTCTCTCCATCATCGCCCACGCTCTCCTTAACCCTTATCCCGATTCTCTCGGCCCCGAGCGGCGACCTTTCCTGCCCCCGGGACTCGGAGCACACGTCAGTCTTCTTGTCTGATGCTCAAACAAATGACGAATCATGTCAGAATTTGGCCACTTTTTTATTGCTCTTAAATTAGACCTATAACCTCTCCCTTGAAAGCAATTTCACATCAGTGCAGCAGCTTTAACTCCGTCCTCTCCGTTTTATTATGATGTCCTAATTCCACAAAGCCTTTTTATCTGTAATAGCACTTTTCTACATGTGTCCTCACATACATTCAACAGACCGAACAAGAGTGGGTTTTTTGCTGACTTTCTACAAAAGGTTTTTATGGAAGATGAATAAATCATCTGATCAATTTTGGAAGCAGTAAAATCTGAAGCCAAGTCGTATTTGAAAATCACCCTCTAACGACCAGAAATGTTCCAGAAAGGCCGTGTCATGTCTTTTTCTTGAGATGAAACATTAAAATGTGGCCACAGCCGAATGACACAACAGAGAACAATAACATCTTGCCCAATAGTCACGACCCCTGAAAGGCCTTTTCCATCTTTCTCGCGGTTGTATTTTATTTTTTTTTTCATTCAGGAAGCTTATTAAATGGTTTCACTGATGGAAACACATCTGAGTCGCTTTTGGAGTTTTTGCGACATTTCAAAACTTTGCTCGAGATTTCACTTGACAGCTGGATGGAAACTGCTGAAATGACCAATGAGCCACTGGTTCCATCGTCGCCTCGCCTCAGTTTCGCCTTCTCCTCAATCCTCCCCTCCACCAGCTCTGCTGCCAACGCCTCCTTTTCTATTCATCCTCCTCCTCCTCCTCCTCCTCCTCCTCCTCCTCCTCCTCCTCTCCGGTTCCCTTTTTCCTAACCCTAACCCTCCGTTCAGATCTGCTACTGTCGAGAGGAAATGAGCCACTGTTTCCAACCTTTCCGAGCACCTTTACCTTCCTCTCACCCCGCCCCCTCTCTCGTCCCTCTGCCCTTTGACGGTCGTTGGGTTGCTACTGTCGGCTGAGACACAGTTTCCAGCGTCGGTCTGACACGAGGTGAAACTCGGTTGTTGCCTCCTTGTCTGCCACCTTTCTGTTTCTGTCTCTATCCACTATGGAGGTCGGTTTTAAATGAACCACCGTCAATTTAGAAATCTCTTCGAAACCCTGAACATGAGGCCAAAGGTTCATCCAGCACAGATAAGAATAGTAACTATGGTTACAGCAAATTATCTGATCAATCTGGTTCTCGGTGTTTTAGATCAATCCAACAAAACTAAATCAGTGTTTTACGCCATTTTCCAAAATAAACTTTCATTGATTTCATATCCATGAATTAAGACTTTGACCCTTGAATTTCAGAGTTTGTAAGAATTTTTCATCTCCCTCTTGTTCCTAACGTGACGTCTCCACTTCCTCCCACTGTGCAAAAATGAAGCCAAAATATTTATGTGCGTACATTTAGGTGTATGTCTGCACCTGACCACAAGGGGGCGATCGTGATGTTTTGGCTCCATGTTCGGTTGCTTTAAATCCTCTCTACGATTTCATAACAGAGCTAAAGGTTTTTAATCATGATGGACATCAGCTATAATTATACTCTTAGATTATATAAAATATATATCATGTCTGTGTAATCGTGTTTGACGGAACCAGGTCAGAAATCTGCTGCGTCCTCCAGAGCGGCTTCATCGCTACACCTCTTTTTCCTCCACAGTCGTCTTGTTCCCACCTGCTCCTTCCTTTCCCACTTTAACCTCCTTTGTACTGTCCTGTTCAATATCCTCTCTCCGTCCGCAGTCAAGTCAGATGCTGTTGGCTCGCCGCTCTCCTCCCACGCTGTCACCCCTCCTCACCTCCCTCCCTCTCCTCCTCTCCTTATTTTCTTGACGCCGCTGTTTCCATCCTTGTTATGACTTTGCTTCACGTCTCTCCTTCCCCCTTCACCTTCTCCTGACCCCTCCTCCCTGGTAATCAGGATTCGTTGTACCACAGTGAGCCAGTGTTTCCAGACTTGACTGTCGCACCGCCTCAACCTCAGCTCCATCTTTACATCAAAACCATTTTAAATAAGTAATAACTCAGTTTGTTCACAGGAGAGCATCAACAGACGTAAAGAGGGCTGAGAAAAGAAGGTCACAGACGATCGTGGAGCTGAGCCACAAAGAGAGAAGCTTCCACTCCTGTCGTTAAAGAAACTAGTGGGACTGTGAACAGGGCACAGCCAACCAAAGACTCTTTGCCCCAAAATATTGACCGTTGCCCCGAGAGGCCAACGTGTCGTCAGAAGTTCGCAGATGTGCTCCGAGGTTTCTGAGTGGGATGAAACGGCAGCACCTGAAAGCATCTCCCAGTCTTTGTGTTAGCAGCAGCTTCATATTTACCACAGAGACATTTGCTAAAAATGTCGACCTCTCGGGTTGTGATTTATTGAATTGAATTTTATAAAATGTTGATCGTCTTTTTCTGACATGAGCCCGACCCTACAACCAGTCGCTCTCAGTCCAGACCCTCTCCTCTCCTCCTCCTCCTCCTCCTCTCCTCCTCCTCCTCCTCCTCCTCCTCTCCCTCGGTGCTGGGTTTGGTGCGTGATTCGTGAAATAAACCGCCGTTCCCAGACCTCTTCGTTCGTTTACATCATCCGCCCTCATCACTCTTTCTCCAAACCCCCCGGTGTCCTCTCCTTGCTTTTCCAACTCTTTCACCGCTCTCCGCCCCAAAACCGTCGACTCTACACCGTCCACGCCTCTCGTCGTCCAACTCCTCCTCCCTCTTTCTCCCGCGTCGCTCTTTCCTAACTAACCCCTTTGTTTCCTAATTACATAAAAGTGACAGTGGAGGGAAAGCATCTCGTTGCTTTCATAAACTTTCTTCTCCCAACTTCTTTCAACTCATTTTAATAAACTGCGTTCATCAGTTTCTCTGGGAATTGAACACACCAGCTCTCCATCATATGGAGAATGACAGCTCTATGTTGTTTATTAACAACACTGCAAAGTTACGTGTCATCAGATAATGTGACTGTTGGCTCAGTGTCTGGACGGTGGAAGGAAGTCTGCTCTCATTGGCTCACTCGCCGTTCTCGGTTCTCACTTCACCTGGTTTCCCGAGCGACGGTGCGTTGACGAGTCGCTGGGGGAGAATAAATGTGGGGCATCGCGATGAACGAGGAGGAGGAACGGTCTGGACTGATGACGAGCCGTTTCAGGAGCTTCAGTGATTTCTGTGCTGAAGCGCAGCTCCCGCCATCTCAGACTTTTTTAACTTTGCAGAACTTTTACATTCAAGTGCCGCTCTTTTAAAGATAAACTTCTAAATATCACCTGCATTTCCCTGGTTGAACAGTCCAACACTTTATTCATCTGCTCTTTCTTTCTTTTTGTCCTTCTTCTCTCTTCCATTTTAACCTTTACCTTTAATCCTCACTCTCTGCGTTCACTCCCTCTTCTGAGCAACAGTAGTGAACCGATGTTTCCAGCTTGTTTTCTAACAGTTCGCCTTTTCAGCGACTCACCGCAGAGCTGTCACACACCGATGATAGGGAAAGAATGAGGGAGTGTGTGTGTGTGTGTGTGTGTGTGTGACTGATGTAAACAAACTAATGAAAACAAATGAATCTTTTTGTGCGTTTGACACGTAGACGCCCCTGCCCTGATACACTACGTACACATATACACTCACACACACACACACACACACTGTGTTGTGCCAGCCGCTGCAGTGTGACTGTAATATAGTGTTGAGTCGCGTTTGGCTGCGGTTTAAATCCAATACCAGTGGAATTACTTTGGACAATACTCAGCGATGACGCCGCAAAGTAACATATTGTCACATCGAATAATTCGTCTTCAGCCCAGAAACAAGTTTGTGTGTTTGAGCAAAGATGAAGAGAAGATGAAAACCTTCATTCCTCCGTCATCTCTCTTTTCGGCCCAATTCCTTCTCTCTCTCTCTCTCTCTCTCTAGTTTCTCACCCATCCCTTTTTTTTCTATTTACGTGAGAACACTTGAAGATACGTGATGCGCTCCTCTCCTCCTCTTCCTCAGGTGTTGGACCGGGAGTTGGAGAAGGTCGAGTGTTACGAGGGTTTCTCTGATTTCTGTCAGACGTTCAAGTTGTTCAGAGGAAGGACTCAGGATGAAGGAGAAGATCCGTCAGTGGTCGGAGAGTTCAAGGTAAAAGTTCAGTCTCTGTCCTACTGAACCTTTAGTCATCGAGATGTGACATCACAAAACATCACGCCACATCACGTGTGTCACAAATCAACACAAAACGTGTCGTCACAAACCTTCACGTGACCTCAGGCCTCATCACCTCAACACGGATGGCTCTATTTTCTGTCTTTAACCAGGGCATGTTTAAGATCTACCCTCTGCCAGACGACCCCTCCGCCTCTGCTCCACCCAGACAGTTCAGGAAACTTCCTCCTAACGGCCTCGAGGAGTGTTTGGTCCGAGTCTACGTCATCCAGGCTCAGGGGCTGCAGCCCAAAGACACCAACGGGAAGGTAGGAGGAAGAGGAGGAGGAGGAGGAGGAGCAGATTGTTAACTGGTCTGATCTAAAAACACTACAGAAATGAGAAATGAGTAAAAAGAAAGCGTGTTTCCCTCTTTGTGTTTTCAGTGTGACCCTTACGTGAAGATCACTCTGGGGAAGAAGACCATCAACGACCATGATAACTACATCCCCTGCACTCAGGACCCTGTCTTCGGAAAGTACGTAACTTCATCTCTCGCTCTCCGGCTCAATCCGAATGTCCGATCGTCCTCAACGTCCCCGTTATGAAACCACATTCAAATCTCCTGGATTCAGATTTTCGTTCAGAACTACAGATACATTGCACACAGTCAAATAAATATCTCCTGAAGGAGATCCGTGGATATTTTAATCGGTGGGTCGTCTCTTTTCTCTTTTATGTCACACTGTGCTAAGTTTATTTCTGTGAATTGTTTATTATATATTGCAGAACTATTTTAATGACACCTTTAATGACCACTTCCTATTTTCTCTTTATATTTCTACCATAAGAACCAAACTATCTTAGAAGCAGAAGTATGAGTGTCCTCTCTACTTTCCTCTGAGACATATTTTCTGTTGACACCAGTAGGGGTCGCTACACTCACACCGATCACAGGAGCTGAACAGCCTCAACTCTTTACTTGACACTTTTTCTAAACCTGGAGAAGTTTATTCTTCTTACTCTTCATTTAAATCTCCGTCTCTTTTTATCAGATGATCAAACTGTTTGGTTTTGAGGAGGACACGAGAAACTGTGTCTGACTGGACCTGAATGTCACATGTCACAAAACATCAAGTCACATCACGTGTCAGAGAATTTATGAAATTATGATACCGTGTGCGACTTACGTGAAAAAGAACATGTCCCAAGAAACGTGGCATCGTGATTCGTCACCTGACAACACATCACGCCACGAAAAACAGTTTGTCTTGACCCTGTTTTCATGATTTTCCCCTCCAGGATGTTTGAGTTCACGTGCTCCCTCCCCGTGGAGAAGGACCTGCGGGTGATGCTGTACGACCACGACATGCTGACCAAAGACGAGAAGATCGGGGAGACGGTGATCGACCTGGAGAACCGCTTCCTGTCCAGATATGGAGCCCTGTGCGGCCTGCCGCAGTCCTACTGCGTGTGAGTGGACGCTCCGAAGAAATGTTTATTTTACCGTCACATAATCGTACCTGTCTAGTAACATCCTCCCTTCTCTCTCTCTCTCTTTTCTCGCACTCTCTGTCTGTGTCTCTCGCCCGTCAGGTCGGGGGTGAACCAGTGGCGAGATCAGCTGACGCCCCGACAGCTGCTGTGTCGAGTGTGTGAGCGACGAAACCTGCGGAAACCGGTTTACCAGGACGACTGCGTCCTCTTCAGAGGAGACAGATACACGGCCGCAGACCTCGGTGTGTGTGTGTGTGTGTGTGTGTGTGTGTGTGTGTGTGTGTGTGTGTGTGTGTTTCCATTAAAAACATTGTGGGCTGGAAACGACAGAACTAGTTAGACTGAGAGAGTCAGTTGGGGATCAAGTCCACCCTCCCTCCATCCATCCATCCATTCCTTTTCATATCTTTTCCCATTGTCTCTCATCATCTCCTCCGTCTCCTTCTTCTCTTCTTTGTTCCCTCACTCTCCTCCACCACTTTTCCCTACCTTTACTCCTCATCCCTGACCTCCTTCCATCCATCCTGTCCTCTATCCACCCATCTCTCCGTCCGTCCGTCTGTCCGTCCGTCCTCTTCTGCTACAAAAAGTGCAGAACTTTGGCGGAGGACAAAGTGGTGGAGGGAGAGAGGGAGGAAGGAGGAGTGGAGTTAAATCACAGGACCACCTGAAGAGCGGAGCAATGAGATAAATATTCAAGATTCATTTACACACACACACACACATGTTCCTCGGCTGGTGCGATGCAAGGTCACGGTTGTCGTTTTGGTGATTTATGGTACAACTGTGTGTGTGTGTGTGTGTGTGTGTGTGTGTGTGTGTGTGTGTGTGTGTGTGTGTGTGNTGTGTGTGTGTGCGTGTGTGTTTTGGGAGACAAGCCAACGTCAACACTCGCGGTCGTCTCTCCGTTACCGAGGAGCCGCCGCGTTCTCTTTCCACAGTTGCCGCGGTTACCGTGCGTCAGCCTGCTGTCCGTCAAGCGCGGCCGCTAATTGGCTCTTCCCCTCCTCCCTCCATCACATTTTTTTATTCTTTCTCTCCTACCTCTATCTCTCCATCCTTAACCTTTCCTCTTTCCCTTCGTTCTCCCCCAAGTTTCCTGTTCCCTCATCCTCTCTTCATTTACCTCATATCCCTAGTTTCTATCACTCTGCTCTTCCTCTTCTCTCTCCCATCCTCCTCTCTTCTCCTCTGGTTTGCCCTCCACTCTTCCTCCGTCCTTTTTTTTTTTTACCTTCCACTTATTTTCTTTTTCCAAAGTACCTGACTTCTTCTCTTCTCCTCTTTTTTCTTCCCTTCTTCACCTTTCATATCCTTCCATTCTCTCTCTATTCCTCCTTCTTCATCTCTTCATTCATCTCTTATTCTTCACTTCTTTTTGAGATTTATCATTGTTCTCCTTCGCTATCTTTCTCTCTTTTTCCTCCCCCCACTTTCATCTCCTCTTAGTGTTCTTGTCTCTCTTTACTCTCATCACCTCTCCTCTTCCTCTCCTCCCCTCTTTCCTCCTCTTCCTCTCACAGTCGAGGTGACTCTAAGTTTACAGTCATAAACTTTTGACGTTTGCTTGATATTTTCATTTTGTTTGGAAGCAGCAGAGATTTTCCCCGTTCGTTGTGATGCAGAATGTGTGTGTGTGTTAGTGTGTGTTAGTGTGTTAGTGTGTGTGTGTGTGTGTGTGTGAATAATGAATAATTCCTATGTGAACCAGTCCGCCCAGTGTTCCGTCTTTCCATTCTCCACTTTGGGAGAGCTGTGACCTACACTTAAACCTTAACATGTGACTGTGTGTGTGTGTGTGTGTGTGTGTGTGTGTGTGTGT